TTTTATTTCAGTACACAACACAAACAAAACAATAAAAACTAACGATACGTGAAGTCCTGAGGTTACAACACCAAAACAAACCTTACGGATCAAGATCCCACAAATAAACTGGTGCCAACAGAATCCTTACTTCTCATGCCATTCTGCTTCTTTGCTGTAAGATTGCAATATGTTAGGTCTTCAACTATTTACCACATGGTGCATCTGAAACATCAAAGCGGCTAACTTTATATTAAAAAACAAGTCTGAAGCACTGGGGGTGTTGCGTGCATCTCCCTAGTGGAGACAGCATACTCACCACCCATCATGCAGACACTGGTTGATTTAACATTGTTTTCACGTCCTTTCAATGAAATTACTTTCAACCAACGTGGAATAGACGTTGAATTGACATTTGTGCCCAGGGGGCAGGGTCCAGGGTCATTGACATTCAGGTGATGACAAAGTAATAACATACAAAAGGAAAACAAAAAGGCATACCAAACGAAAAGGATTAAACTACATGTGGGAAAACCCTGCTGGGTCGGGGAGGCTACTCGATCAGCCTCAGATCAGCAATCACCAGTCAATCTTCTTCTTCATCTATAGTATTATGGTGGTACGCAGACATTCGTTAGAGGTGCATGCCGCCACCTACTGTGTGGGCTGTGTCCGCCTACTGTTCTGGTGTGTGAATTCATTACACTTCGTGATACAAAAAGGGAAGTGGGGAAAAGGGAATAAAAATTGCCCTACCAACTAACCCTACACCCATTCAAACCTCACCACTATCACCAGTCAATCACTCACGCCTGTGAGCTATCACTCCTTGTTAATCCACTCTGAACATCTGCTCCAGCTGTCGCTGCCCATAAGGGTGGGATAGCATAGTGGAAATGGTCTGTCCAGCTATGGCCTAACTACTTCCCTATATCTATTTTTAACAATACAGGCAATTCATTAGCTGAAATTAGATGCTATTGCAACTTATGAAACCTGGCCATCACAAGCTTTGTAGTGTGTCTAGGACTACAATTTCAAGTGTCTCCCTTGTTCCTTCCAATTTCCAATGGTGGTCATTGGTAGATGTAAAATTGACACCCAGGTTTCAGCTGATGTGTCGCTGACAGAGATAACTACACAATGAAAATTATGGCATAATGGAGGCCCTTTTTTCTTTTTGGCAGGCAAGCTATGGATATAATTTCTGACACTGACAGTGACAGGTAAAATGTATTTCATCAGTCTTTCAAAGTCAATTTGAGATGGAAGGGAAAAAATGAGACCATGGTGCATAACACAGACTTTTTTAATAGAATTCATTTATAACAAATGGAACTTGTGTCAGCAAAGAACTGATTTTCATACAGACTTCTTTCGCCACCAATGTAACCTAATTAAGAAAATAAAAAGCACTCCTTTCATTCAGAAAAAAAAAACAGTTTACACTTACAACTAATAAGAGGTAATTGTATGATTCTTTTAACAAGCCTTTTTTTTTTTTTTTTACAATTTCATTAATTAATTTCAGTCTATGCATCCAGACGAGAGATAGATAGAGAGCAGAGAGAACACAACGTTTATTTTTGTAATGACACTCCAAGCTTGAATGGCGAAGCCACGTTAGTTAATAACAGATGGTTGGGACAAATTTCTGAAAGTCGTGTTCTGCAGTAATCACGGCACCAGAATGGATGCTCTTTTTGCCACAATTTTTTTTTTGTCTTTTTCAAAGTCAATCCTTTTTATGTGTTATTTACATACACACAAAGTGAACGTTGAAGGAGATTCTTACAGATAGGTTCAAGTAATATATTATTGGGTTCAGAATCAATAGGGCAGTGCATAGTACAAAGATAAAGAAAGTGCAATTCTTCCTATTAGGCCGGCTGTGGCCATTCTGCAATGTTTCACCATGCATAATGAAAATCAAGATGGGAAAACAAAATGAAAGTTGTGGATCAGTTAATGTGCACAGACTGCTGAACTAAGTACATAAAATGTGGCATCGAGGTTAAATAATAATAGCACTTTTATACTGTTATGACAAAAGAGTTGAAAAAAAGCAACTAATAAAAAAAACTAAACTATTTAGCTGCTTGAAATAAAAAGGGAAAACAAGCACCTGGAATGCACATCCACAAAGCCATCAAAGAGAGCGAGGGTCAAATAAAAGACGGGTCCAAATGATATGTTGTGTCCTCAACCCAAAAAACGTAGGTTACTGTAGAAGTACATCATCTGCAATAGCAGACGTAAAACACAATTAAGTACTGTCAGATTTGTAACACTAACTGGTCCAACAATTTATAATTGCAAATACATGTATCAGTCGAATACTTTCAAGCCTAAGGCATAGTGAAGGGACCCTTTAGCTAAGTGTCTATACTGTACACTGTGTCTATACACTCTGTTTGCTGGAGTCTGTTTGACTCATTGTAAATAGAGAAAGTGCTTTTCACTTTCAAGGTCAGTAAAAGCTCATCAACTCCGCAAATTGTCCCATGATGCATGTCTTTGTTGACAACAGGCATGTGGCTTTGACTCCCTTAATTTTCCTAAAATTGTTAATAGTCCTAGTTTGTTTAAAATGCATATTGACTGCTTGCCTCTCTTTGAATATACATCTATCCCAATTAAGTGCTGGATCTTTCTATAGATTTAAGAACTTGAAATGAGTACAAAAGGACGAGGGGGGGGGGGGGTATACATTGGTCTCCTTACCATAGAATGCTCTGCTATTATTTTATTTTTTTCACTGAGCCACAAGGCCACAGAAACTGAAAATAGGAGCCTTGCCATGTACGTATTTGCATATATAATTTCATATTATGTAACAAATGAATACTTAAGATAAAAATGAAATATACAGTTATATGTACTATATGCATGGACTACTCAAATATTACAATAATGAGTTAAATGAACGTTATAAAAAACAGACAGAAATATAAGGCACTCTAAATGCAAAATGAAAATGTTGTTGAGCGTTTGAACACCTCAAGAAGAAAGTGACGTCTTTGTACCTTGTCCTATTGTATGGAACAATGACTTAGTCTAAGCGACCCCCTGCTATGGAACTACAAACTGTATGAGCGTATCTAAATGCACTGGTGATACGTCGAGTGACACATGATGTTCCCCACCTACACGCCTCACCACAACAACAATGTCATGACCAACAAAGTATCCATATGAACCCTATCTATAATACACCTATTTATTGCACAAGAAAAGATGCACTGAATCAGAATACGTTTTGTCCTACCGATGTGCATTCCAGTGAAAAATCTCTTTATTTCCCCAAAGTATAGAAATCTCATTGTGGAAGCATTCATATACAATCCATTCGTTTTATATATAGCCATAAATGATGTACTTTATTTCAGTATACATATGTTATAGGTTATGATCATATTATAATTAATATACCATTCATATCTGTCATCTTCTGTATACCATAAATATGTATATATCATATCATGTATCTTATCCATCAGGTGCTCATCTTTTACCTTCATTCTAACATGGAAGAACTAAGATAATCGGTAGCAGCAGCTTCATACTTTGCTCATCCCTGTTGATTCCACAAAGCCCCAGTTTATCGCATGAGTGTGTAAGTAAGCTATTGTGTATCCGATATTGGACAAATAAGACAAAACGAAAAAATGAAAAACCCTGTAACAAAGTCAACATTTGGTAGTGTGAATACAGGACTGCACAGATTGAGACAAACCAACCAAAAAAATTAGTTCTACAGCTTAAAAAAATACAACTCGGAAGACAAAAGTGAACGATTACGCAAATACTTTGTTTGATTCACTTTGTCGAGTGATACGTTTTGTTAAAAAAAGGAAATCAAATTTCACACAGTTTAAAATAAAGCACATATCAACTGTATAATAAAGTACTAAAAAACTAAATCAATAGGTTTTATTTGTTTCATATATCTTTAAACATTCCCCCTTCCCTCCAATTCTTTAAATGATGAACGTTGCGACAGGAAACAGGGTATTTTTTCATAGTGGACCAAGCACTGGTGTCTTCTTTTTCGATGGGTCGTTGTCTCTGTGTAGTTTGATTGTGGAACAGAAATGTCTCTTTACAATGTGCATCAAGTTTTAAGCCATTCTGTGTGCCTCCATTTCTCTCTCTTGTGGTTCGTAATATGATGCATTACTTGTTGATGTAATAGTACGTTGTGTTATTATTTTGTTTGTGTTTCTTTCAGTTTTTTTTTACCCAAGACGAATCCTTGAAGCAACAGAAGAAAAAAAAAATTCCATAAGATGCTTCAACAGTCAGGATTCCCTCTCTGTTTCCCGTGTCAGGATGAGTTCCATGGGTTTTGGGAAACACTTGGTCCTCCAGGAATAATCTTTATGAATTTTTTGAAATGTTTGTGTCTCACGTCCAACATTTAGGGCTCTTTTCAATCAGATCTGCTTTAACCGACATCCGCATAGCGGTTGTTTTGACGGTGTTGGAGGTGGAACTGCATTAGATCTGTCAAATCCACAAGTGGCTCCCGGCATTATACCTAAAGCGGACATTGCCATTGGCTGCATGGAGTTGCATTAAGATGAATCCCATGCAGCCTTGTTTACAAGTTCGAACACTGGAATGTGAGATGTAATCTACACCTCCATTAGGAAGATAGAAATCCTCATTTTTCGTTTAATGATTTTTCAATTTTACTGCATTTATTTCTATATAGCCTATTTCTCGTTCTGAACTTCTAACGTGAGTGGGGTGGGTGTGGCTTTGTGACAATGATCGCAAGAGCAGCTGCCCACCGATTTGACTGCTCCAACACAGTTCCACCTCCGACACCGCCAAAACATGCGCTATGCGGGGATCTGCTATCGCTGGTTAACGCTTGATCTGATTGAATCTAGGCCTAAATTGAGTCTTTAGCTAGGAGTTAAGAAGTGCTTTCTCAAGCAGGAAATTATGGCTCAGAAGAGAGGCTCGCTGGGGTTGTCCAAGGGCCTTCTGCTTTTCCTCAGGGACTCTTACGTTGCATAGTGGTCAAAGCTTCCAAGGTATTCCAAGCCAGCTCTGTAACAGAACTGGTACTGATCCTGAGGAGAAAGGAGAGAAAGAAAATTAGTCCAAACTGTTTGTCACCATTTTCCAACCAGGTCCAATTTATTTCTCTGTCTAGCTGTCTTTCTTTACTGTCTCTCTCAATATGTGATCTTTAGTTTCCTTGGCCTCAATCGTTCTCTCTTTCTCGGTCTGCCATGTTCACATTTTCATTTGCCGCTGCTCAGAAATGAGATAAATAAAAATGTACTTGATTCACCACAGAGTAGAAGATTGCTGCTTTTAAGCAATTTCAGAGAGCCACTTGTAAGCTATTGTGTATCTTTTCTATAGATCTTGAAAACAGTTGTCTGTCATCCATTCAAAGGATATTTTGTGGACGACAAATGGAATTCTGTATCTCATGAGCATCTACTCAATATTAGGAAGGTGTTCCTAATGTTTGGTATAGTCAGTGTATAGTGTGTTAGGTAGGTATGTTATGTATCATGCTTGGTTGACCTCCATAAGGTGTGGAGAGTACAGGTATACAGGGTATCTCACCTCTGTCTGCACCATGGCCGGTCTCTGTGTCCGGAGCATTTTCACCGTCTGGAAGATATCCACCACGCCCTCGTACCTCATCCGCTCTAATACGATGCTGAGGGTGATGAAGACTCCAGTCCTACCAACACCCGCACTGCGAGAAAGTCAAAAGATAATCAGACAGCAAATAAACAGTCTGAGAACCTCCACGCTGACCAGACAAAAACAACACGACCAAACAAAAGAACACATGACCAGACAAAACAACACAACCAGACAAAACAACACATGACCAGACAAAACAACAGTCTAGACAAAACAACAAATGACCAGACAAAACAACACATGACCAGACAAAACAACATTGTCTAGACAAAACAACACATGACCAGACAAAACAACATGACCAGACAAAAACAACACATGACCAGACAAAACAACACAGTATAGACAAAACAACACATGACCAGACAAAACAACATGACCAGACAAAACAACACGACCAGACAAAACAACACATGACCAGACAAACAACACATGACCAGACAAAACAACACAGTCTAGACAAAACAACACATGACCAGACAAAACATGACCAGACAAAACAACACATGACCAGACAAAACAAATCACTCTAGACAAAACAACACATGACCAGACAAAACAACATGACCAGACAAAACAACACATGACCAGACAAACAACATATGACCAGACAAAACAACACAGTCTAGACAAAACAACACAGTCTAGACAAAACACCAATGACCAGACAAAACACCAGATGACCAGACAAAACACCACATGACCAGACAAAACAACACATGACCAGAGAAAACATCACAGTCTAGACAAAACAACACATGACCAGACAAAACAACACATGACCAGATAAGACAACACATGACCAAACAAAACAACAAATGACCAGACAAAACAACAGTCTAGACAAAACTACACAGTCTAGACAAAACAACACATGACCAGACAAAACAACACACTCTAGACAAAACAACAGTTATTTTGAATGTGGCTCCTTACCTACAATGGACTGATATAGGCCCATCTTGGCCAAACTGTTCTTTTGTTTTATGAACTTGGCCGATGAAATCGATGAAGCCCTCTCCCGATTTTGGCACTCCTTGCTCGGGCCAGTCTGTAAACTGAAACTGCCTTACCGTCCGTGACTGTCCGTCCTGGACAAATAGGGAGAGAGAATACAGTGTGTTCACTTGAATGGAACGTCAAGCCAAGATGATGAAATCAAGACAACTTATCCAACGCACCTGACAAACAGGCCAAATTGGAAGCTTGTCCATTTTCTTTTTTCCTCAACTATCTCATTATGCCTCAGTAATGACAGAGGCTTTTTTGTGCTTTTATTTTGAAAATCTCAATATCGGTCATTAGTGAATCAGGGAGCCCCGAGTCACAAAGTTATAAGTACCAGAGACAGGTGTTTGTTACTAAAGATATCTGTAATTTTCACCTGAATGTATTAAAATATGAATACTAAAGACGCTAAGTCCTTTGATGTGCCGAGTTTGGCAGGCTCTTGAAAAGCCGTCTTTGAGGGTGTGCATTACTTTAGTGATATTGTATCCCTTTGATAAGGGGAAGCAATCCCATTGAGGTTCCAATGTAACACACACTACAAAGGAGAAGCCTGCACCATTTATCAGTGTAAGCCTTTGATGGAATTAAGTCCCAGCGGCTCAAGGCTGCCAGGCACCGTATTTGTTTTTACACCTTTGACATGTCATAATTCCCTCAAATATATTTATGCATATATTCATTAAAAAACCTCCAGTTCGGTATAAACAACTTATTTGATATGGGTCCCAGATGTTGGCTTGAGGACTACTGCACAGTTAAAAACCCCGGTCAGTAGGAGTTGGCCAACTATAAGTCAAGTCTCTATCTGAACCGTTAAAATCAAATGGCTCAAAGAAATGGTAGCGAGTGCTGCCAAGTTTTTATCATGAAACAGAGTTATTCAAAGACAAAAACTTCAAAGTAGACAGATTTATGCGTTTGACCAAACTCCACACAATAAACAATGAATCTAATATATTTTGACAAAAACTACAAAGTCGGGAATGCTTCTAGCACTGTCAAATTTCTATGAGTGTTTGGATAGTAAAAGATGGGTGTAGTACAGTACAGTACAGTACTTACCCTGGCGTCAGTCACTTTGAACTCTCTCAGGATGTACTGGGGCATGTTGTATTCAGCCATGGGGTCCACCACAAAGTACTGGTATCTGGCCGACCTCTCTGCTGGCCAATACTGGTGGCATTTTTCCTGCAGTGGGGGAAAACATAAAAATAAAAAAACATGAGCGATACTACCTCGTACAGTACACTGAAATTCCAGCAGAGTGCCTGGATATCTTACAGATTGTTGGTCTGAATTCAATTTATTTCACGTTTGCATTTTTCATCAACTAGTTGAAGTAGCAACATTGTTATATGTATTGTCGGGTATGTTATCATGTCACGGTAGTAGCAACATTTGGTTAGCATGGACAACAGAGTGCACAGAAACAACATAGTTTAGCATAACATACCCTGCCCATTTCTCTGAGCTTCGTTAGCATGACTACGATGGTGGAGTTGTGCTCCCAGAGCATCCTCCAGAAGTCCTCTGTGGTCTCCGCTAGCGGCCCTTGCGTGGCAATATAGGCTTTCTGTTGCCTGAAACAATATAAATATATTCAGTATCACAAAATACAAGGTAAAAGTGGACTACCATGTGTCTCAATAATTCAACCACGTTGGTCAAGCTCTCCTCACCTGTATCCATCAATGAAACTGGCATTGATGTAGTCGGAGCCCTCCACCCCTCGAATTGGCTGAAGACACACTCGCGTGGACTCATATGGCATTATGTTCACAAGGCGGTTCTTGAACTTGTTGCAGGGGAGATTGGCACTGATGAATCGCGACGTATGGGCTTTAGTGTTGGCTAAACGCTAGAGAGAGGGAGATAAGAAGCACTGCCTTTATGTGACTGCTGGCTAATGCAGCTCTCTCGTTTATTTCCCTAGTGTCTGGCTTGTGGTTGACATTAAAAACAGGGGGCTTGTGTAATATAATGATCGCAAAAGTGAGGGAAGGCCTTAGTAGGATTATGGTTCTCGGCTGCCAAACATTCTGAACGGAAAAAGGCTACGCTGTTTACTGCATCTACAGTAGTTAAATAATTTTATGTTAACGTTAAAGGGCAATTCCGCCACATTTTTAACCTCATATTCAGCACTGAACCAGTGTCTACATATGTGAAAACATTGCGTTTCTATGATCTGTGGTTAAAAAGATAAGAAGAAAGGCCCAAAAAATGCTTCTCTTTGACATCACAGGGTAGGATTTCTAGTTGGGTTACAAAAGGAAGGCAACTAACTGGAAAGGGGGAAACCACAGGCCCCACAATGTCTCGCTGGGCTAATGGGAATTGTAAAAGTGTCCGTGAGTGGTGGTATTGCGGCCAATCAATGATGCAAGGGCCAGGATGTGACTTGGAGCTCGGGGGGGGGGGGGGGGGGGGGGTTTACACAAAACAATATCCAACCACCCTCTGACTTTCAGTAAATACAGTAAATACAAGTAATTAAGTTTTTTTTCCTTCTTTTCTTTATGTAGCCAGTTCCTCTTTTGTTGGCATGGCCCCTTTGGAACTATAGAGCAGGATATGAGCTGGAGCACATTGGTCTTGGGTTAGCATCCAGGCTGTCCAATATCTTTAAGTTGGCTGTTTGTCTGTAGCATTGCACCCTTTACCAGTTTAGCTATTCCAATTGCAAGATATTTTTGATATCAATGTACAAGCTGCTTTTACAACTAGATGTACTGTACTAAAATGATTCCCCTTGAAAATAAATGGCATTTTAGTGTGGATTTTTCCAATTATATACACTACCGTTCAAAAGTTTGAGGTCACTAGGAATTTCCTTGTTTTTGAAAGAAAAGCGATTTTTTTAAACTTTTGAAATTAAAATAACATCAAATTGATCAGAAATACAGTGTAGACTTTGTTAATGTTGTAAATGGCTATTGTAGCTGGAAACTGCAGATTTTTTATGGAATATCTACATAGGCGTACAGAGACCCATTATCAGCAACCATCAGTCCTGTGTTCCAATGGCACGTTGTGTTTTGCTAATCCAAGTTTATCATTTTAAAAGGCTAATTGATCATTAGAAAACCCTTTTGCAATTATGTTAGCACATCTGAAAACTGTTGTGCTGATTAAAGAAGCAATAAAACTGGCCTTCTTGAGACTAGTTGAGTATCTGGAGCATCAGCAATTGTGGGTTCGATTACAGGATCAAAATGGACAGAAACAAATAACTTTCTTCTGAAACTTGGCAGTCTATTCTTGTTCTGAGAAATGAAGGCTATTCCATGCGAGAAATTGCCAAGAAACTGAAGATCTCGTACAACGCTGTGTACTACGCCCTTCACAGAACAGCGCAAACTGGCTCTAACCAGAATAGAAAGAGGAGTGGGAGGCTCCGGTGCACAACTGAGCAAGAGGGCAAATACATTAGAGTGTCTAGTTTGAGAAACAGACACCTCACAGGTCCTCAACTGGCAGCTTCATTAAATAGTACCCGCAAACACCAGTCTCAACGTCAACAGTGAAGAGGCGACTCTGGGATGCTGACCTTCTAGGCAGAGTTGCAAAGAAAAAGCCATATCTCAGACTGGCCAATAAAAATTAAAGATTAAGATGGGCAAAAGAACACAGAATGGACAGAGGAAGATTGGAAAAAAGTGTTATGGACAGACGAATTGAGGTTTGAGGTGTTAGGATCACAAAGAAGAACATTTGTGAGATGCAGACCAAATGAAAAGACAAATGAAAAGATGCTGGAGGAGTGCTTGATGCCATCTGTCAAGCATGGTGGAGGCAATGTGTTGGTCTGGGGGTGCTTTGGTGGTGGAAGACAACAAAAAAGGCGCACTAAACCCCTACGCTGGAACGGGCAGGGGAAATGATACAATGTAGCCGCTCTCCGAGCCGGCGGCGCGCGCCGCCCATTAAACAATGATACAAGGTAACCGCAGTCGTACAATGTAACGCAGCCTACCTACGCATTCATTCGGTGGCGATGGAATTGCTTCTTTTACTGACAGAGTGGGTGGCTCTTAAAAGAGCCTTTGCGTTAGTAGAGCAGTCCAAATGCGCTGTTTACTTGGAGCTGGTGTACTTGGTTACGGCCTTGGTGCCCTCGGACACGGCATGCTTGGCAAGCTCACCGGGGAGCAGCAGGCGCACGGCGGTCTGGATCTCCCTGGAGGTGATGGTAGAACGCTTGTTGTAGTGGGCCAGGCGAGAGGACTCTCCGGCGATAGGCTCGAAGATGTCGTTCACGAAGGAGTTCATGATTCCCATGGCCTTGGAGGAGATGCCGATGTCGGGGTGGACCTGCTTAAGGACTTTGTACACGTAGATGGCGTAGCTCTCCTTCCTGGACTTTCTGCGCTTCTTGCCGCCCTTCCCTGCGGTCTTGGTGACGGCTTTCTTGGAGCCCTTCTTGGGCGCTGACTTTGCTGGCTCGGGCATGATGATGTCTCGTTGCTTCTCAGAAACGAATGAGGGGGTGAAGGGCGCTTACCCGTCTTATGAAGAGGAAGCTAAGCAAAGTCAGTGGCCGTGGACACTCCCCTGCTTGCTCATAGGCGCCCCTGCTATTGGCCTAGTGGAGCTCTAGCGCTCAAAAAAGCCTTCCACTCAGAGGCTAGCTACCCAAACAAAAACAATTGAGGGCGCGCGCGGGTCCTCACCCCCTCCCTCCTCTCTATAGGCTATGCTCTGTGACGGATGGGGAATTGTGTGTTTCAAAAGGGAGGGGAGGGGAGGGGAGGGTAGGACTTTAATAGTTGTTCAAATGGCACGATTGTTGTGCCAAATAATGCTGGTGATAGAATTTCCCACTTCGGCACCATCAGACATAGGCCTCCCATTTTGGACTGTGTGGGTGTGTGTGTGTGTGTGTGCGCGCGCCCGCCCGCGTTGTCTACACAACTAATCTTCTCCTTTCCCCCTTCTGATAACCAGGTGGCGAATCGCATCTCTGCATGTCTGGCAGACATATCAGTGTGGATGACGGATCACCACCTCAAGCTGAACCTCGGCAAGACGGAGCTGCTCTTCCTCCCGGGGAAGGACTGCCCATTCCATGATCTCGCCATCACGGTTGACAACTCCGTTGTGTCCTCCTCCCAGAGTGCGAAGAGCCTTGGCGTGACCCTGGACAACACCCTGTCGTTCTCCGCTAACATCAAGGCGGTGACCCGATCCTGTAGGTTCATGCTCTACAACATTCGGAGAGTACGACCCTGCCTTACACAGGAAGCGGCACAGGTCCTAATCCAGGCACTTGTCATCTCCCGTCTGGATTACTGCAACTCGCTGTTGGCTGGGCTCCCTGCCTGTGCCATTAAACCCCTACAAATCATCCAGAATGCCGCAGCCCATCTGGTGTTCAAACTTCCCAAGTTCTCTCACGTCACCCCGCTCCTCCGCACACTCCACTGGCTTCCAGTTGAAGCTCGCATCTGCTACAAGACCATGGTGCTTGCCTACGGAGCTGTGAGGGGAATGGCACCTCCGTACCTTCAGGCTCTGATCAGTCCCTACACCCAAACGAGGGCATTGCGTTCATCCACCTCTGGCCTGCTGGCCCCCCTACCTCTGTGGAAGCACAGTTCCCGCTCAGCCCAGTCAAAACTGTTCGCTGTTCTGGCACCCCAATGGTGGAACAAGCTCCCTCGCGACGCCAGGACAGCGGAGTCACTCACCACCTTCCGGAGACACTTGAAACCCCACCTCTTTAAGGAATACCTGGGATAGGATAAAGTAATCCTTCTACCCCCCCCCCCCCCCCCCCCTTACCCCACCCCCCAATTTTTTAAAAACAAAATTAAATAATAAAAATGTAAAAATAAAATACATATTGTAAAGTGGTTATCCCACTGGCTATAAGGTGAATGCACCAATTTGTAAGTCGCTCTGGATAAGAGCGTCTGCTAAATGACGTAAATGTAAATGTAATGTAAATGTAAAGTGGGAGATTTGTACAGGGTAAAAGGGATCTTGAAGAAGGAAGGCTATCACTCCATTTTGCAACGCCATGCCGTACCCTGTGGACGGAGCTTGATTGGAGCCAATTTCCTCCTACAACAGGACAATGACCCAAAGCACAGCTCCAAACTATGCAAGAACTATTTAGGGAAGAAGCAGTCAGCTGGTATTCTGTCTATAATGGAGTGGCCAGCACAGTCACCGGATCTCAACCCTATTGAGCTGTTGTGGGAGCAGCTTGACCGTATGGTACGTAAGAAGTGCCCATCAAGCCAATCCAACTTGTGGGCGGTGCTTCAGGAATCATGGGGTGAAATCTCTTCAGATTACCTCAACAAATTGACAACTAGAATGCCAAAGGTCTGCAAGGCCGTAATTGCTGCAAATGGAGGATTCTTTGACGAAAGCAAAGTTTGAAGGACACAATTATTATTTCTATAAAAAATAATTATTTCTAACCTTGTCAATGACTACATTTCCTATGCATTTTGTTATATTTCCTATTCAAACTCATTTTATGTATGTTTTCATGGAAAACAAGGACATTTCTAAGTGACCCCAAACTTTTGAACGGTAGTGTATATATAAAAAAAAGAAAAAATCCATTGCAATAATACAACGCAGACCGGCTTACCTTGAACTCCAGCTCCATGCCTGTGACGTTCTCTCCGCCCTCGATCCCAGTCAGCTTCTGGATGTAGGCGTAGAGGTTTCGGGCGGGCACTTCAGTGGTGCCGCATGTGACGGCTTCCTGGAGCGCGTCGTGGATGAACACGTACTGGTCCTCCGTCTGCACCATGTAGTTCCGCTGGGCGCGCATCAGCGTCACGTGGCCGTAGATGTCCACGGTCTTCTCGTGCTTGATGCGCTCAAGCATGGCGTCGATCACGATGAAGCAGCCCGTGCGGCCCACCCCGGCACTAAAGACAAAACAAAGATGGCAAACTTGAAAGTGGCTCACTTAAGAGACAATAGCCTGTGCTGCACACCTCAGCACTGTGCCCCCAAATACACATGAAGTGGAAGGGAAATGGTCAGAACTGGCAAGGTTGACTTGCTATTGGCTTGATTTGAGCCTCATTGACAATAGATGTCTTTGTCTTGTCTTTTGTCTTTTGTCATTTAGCTGACACTCTTATCCAGAGCAACTTACAGTTAGTGAGTGCATACATTATTATTATTTTTTTCATACTGGCCCCCCGTGGGAATCAAACCCACAACCCTGGCATTGCAAACGCCATGCTCTACCAACTGAGCTACATCCCTGCCGGCCATTCCCTCCCCTACCCTGGACAACGCTTGGCCAATTGTGCGCCGCCCCATGGGTCTCCCGGTCGCGGCCGGCTACGACAGAGCCTGGATTCCAACCAGGATTTCTAGTGGCACAGCTAGCACTGCGATGCAGTGCCTTAGACCACTGCGCCACTCGGGAGGTCTTGGGGGTGTAATATTTGTGCGTCTAACTTTCTCACTCATTATTCACAATTCATTCAGAATTATCTGTAATCATGGTAGCATCCACATTAATGTAGAAGTGACTTGACCTAACTGTTTTAGTGGCTTGTCCAGCTTGACTGAAGAGACAAATGAAGAACATTTGAGATAAGAGCTCTATTGAGATAGTTTTGAGTAAATGGGCCAATAGTGTCACAATTTCCTCTGCAGCTGCAACTTGATACAAGTCATGTTAATGGTCATTCCTGAAATCTGCCCCCAGATTTTACTCTAACGTTCTTGTTTACTATACCCCCTAACCTATAGCTCATATAGCCTTGTTCTCTGCTATGTGCTGTGTAAGCCCATGATCAGAATGACTACTCACCATTGGTGGATAATGAGTGACAGTTCCATGCTGAGAGAGGTGCCCTGTCTCAGCTATGGGGAGCTAAGTGCAATTCCTCAAGAATAATTTAAGATTTCATGTTTTTCTTACGAACTTCTCAAATATCTTCTTACAAACTTCTAGATGATTGTCGCTAGGCAACCGATCTTGCTAGCTATATCGCTAGCAATGGCAATCATGCTCGCACATTTCTTACTGAGATTACTGTTCAAAAACATGTTCTTGGGTTTAAAACAATCAATACTGAATCTTTAAGATGAAGTTTGTGAGTGAATTAAACATGTTCAATTGCTTTCATTAGCTTATTTTCTCACTGCCCTGAGTTTAAGACAAGGGTTTAGCCTTCAGAAAGTATTCACACACCTTGACTTTTTCCACATTTTGTTGTGTCACTGGCATACACACAATACCCCATAATGTCAAAGTGGAATAATGTTTTCAGACATTTTTACAAATGAATTAGATATGAAAAGCTCAAATGTCTTGAGTCTGTAAGTATTCAACCCCTTACTTACAGCAAGCCTAAATAAGTTCAGGACCAAAAATTGGCTTAACAAGTCACACAATAAGTAGCATGGACTCATACAATTATCTGTAAGGTCCCTCAGTCGAGCAGTGAACTTCAAACACAGATTCAAAGACCAGGGAGGTTTTCCAATGCCTCGCAAAGAAGGGCACCTATTGGTAGATACATTTGTATTAATTTTTATATCCAGTTGTTCATGGTGAAGTTACTGTTAGGATGGTGTATCAATACACCCAGTCACTACAAATGTACAGGCGTCCTTCCTAACTCAGTTGCCCATGAGGAAGGACACCGCTCAAGGATTTCACAATGAGACCAATGGTGACTTTAAAACAGTTACAGAGTTTAATGGCTGTTATAGGAGAAAACTGAGGATGGATCAACAACATTGTAGTTACTCCACAATACTAACCTCAATTACAGAGTGAAAAGAAGGAAGCCTGTACATAATACAAATATTCCAAAACATGCACCCTGTTGCAATGAGGCACTAAAGTAAAATTGCAAAACATTTGGCAAATAAATGAACTTTATGTCCTGAATACAAAGCATTATGTTTGGGGCAAATCCAACACAACACATCACTGAGTACCACTCTTATTATTTTCAAGCATGGGTGTGGCTGCATCATGTTATGGATGTGCTCGTCATCGGCAAGGACTAGGGAGCTTTTTAGGATAAAAATAAATGGAATAGAGCTAAGCACAGGCAAAATCCTAGAGGAAAACCTGGTTCAGTCTGCTTTCCAACAGACACTGGGAAACAAATTCACCTTTCAGCAGGTCAATAACCTAAAACACAAGGCCAAATACAGTAATCCCTCGTTTATCGCGGGGGTTACGTTCCGAAAATGACCCGCGATAAGTGAAATCCGCGAAATAGAAAACTTTTTTTTTTTTACAATTAGCAACTATTACATGTATACAAATACAGTGACTCACGTGTAGGCCGTTTCGTCGACATTATGGGTTTAGAAGATGTTCGAAATTACAAGATAATTTGGCCAACTTAATGTAAATTTGCCAAGCTGTTTTATGTACGTACACATAACTGCACGAGACGACAAAATGATAGCACAATTCGTAGCATGTTTTGATACAAGAAGCGGGAGTGAGTTTTTAGCGAATCAGAATGCAGAGCACAATGCACCAAAAAAAAAAAAATAATGCATTATGAAAATCCGCGAAATAGCGAATCCGCGATAAGTGAACCGCGAAGTGGCGAGGGATCACTGTATATAAAATGACATTGAATGTTCCTGAGTGGCCTAGTTACAGTTTGACTTAAATCGGCTTGAAAATCTGTCAAGATTGAAAATGACTGTCTAACAATGATCAACAACCAACTTGACAGAGCTTGAAGATTGTTTTCAAAGAAAATGTTGTATAATCTAGGTGTGCAAAGCTCTTAGAGACTTGCCCAGATAGACTCACAGATGTAATCACTGCCAAAGGTGATTCTAACATGTATTGACTCAGGGGATTGAATACTTATCTAATTAAGATAGCTTTATTAGTGATGTATCTTTCATTGATTTTTTTTACAAATGTTAGAGTATTTTGTGTAGATCGTTAACAACAAATGACAATTAAATCCATTTTAATTCCACCTTGTAACACAGCAAAATGTGTAAAAAGTCAAGGGGTGTAAATACATTTCGGAAGGCACTGTATCTTGGAATTAAGAACATTTCCAAGAAGAAATCCAATAACATTATTTTCGAGAATCAAATTTCTTCGTAACTGTTTTCTTAGGAAGTAACATAGGGAAAAACGTACAAATATTTCCAAGAACTTTATTGAGGAATAGTAATTTTTCATACATTTTGTGAATCCGGGCTGGTCTGCAGTCTGCATTGTGGCTCTCTGCTGGCACTGCAATCACGGAGCACCCCCCACCTACAGTCCTCTCCAACCTGATCTGAGCTAATCACTATTTAATTAAATTTTACATTTCAGTTTAACCTCTATCTGAAGTGTCAAAAAGCACAAACACACACAAACATGGCAGCACACACACACAAATGTGCTTCACTTTTTTCCCTGTGTCACTTTGTGCACTATTCTCTTTGTCAGAGAATAGTGCAGCTGACTTCAATTACTGCCATTAGCTTAGTGCAATGTGCTAAAAGCACCTAATGGCTCTCAAGAAGGCACTGAAAAGCAGGCCCCTTCATTAAGAATCCCATTGGCACATTTTCACATTAGAGCCAGAAAAAACAGTCTAAGGAAAAGAGGAGGGAAAATGTGTCGCTAATGTTTCAGTTCTATTCAGAATAAATAGCAACATAAACTTAATGACATGGACAGAGCTGAAGATATGTCTAATTTTAATATAATGCTTTTTTGTTCTTTATTTTTGCAAAATATGTTTTGAACAGAAACATTTTTGCCACTTCCCCTTGTGAGGTTCTTTTTTGACAATATTTATTAGATTTTCTTCACAATGGCATCGTTGAGGAGGGTGAACTCCAGTCCGCCTGACAAGCTCATGTCTCCCCCAGCCGAGCATTGACAAGACAGTCCTTGGCTGGCTGCTCTAAAGTAAATGGGTTATTCAACTCATTAAGTCGACATGGCTACGAGGTGTGAGCCACGCTCCCCTGCCTCTCTTCCCCTGATAGAGCATTTGTTTTTCATTTATACGAAAGGGAAAAAGGGAGGGGGTTAAGATAGTCCCCGGGCCCAAGTCTGGCTAATGTGCCGTGGTGCAGCGGAGGCGGCATGGGAGAGAGAATTAAGACACATGCGGGAGTCGTTTGTCGCTGCAAAACATTATGTGCTTGCGTTTAAAATGGCCGACGTTCCCTGATTGATTTGGGGACGTGTTTCGGCACAGGCTTTGTCGCAACTCTTGAGGTAGTTACCAGAGGCTCACGGGTGTTGCTGAGCTTATTGAGAAGACATTGGCATGTGTGTGTGTGTGTGTGTGTGAGTCTGAAATATTGTGTGTGAAATGTTCTCAGGAATATTTTGGGATATGAATCACATCCAGGGTTTAAGGAGCAGCAGGCGGGGGGAGAAAACATTAGACATTTTCTACCCCAGCTGTTTCCAATCCTTCGCCCCTTTACAGTCCAGTCCCAAACGCCGGAGAGTGATGACCTGTGAGCAGGCAAGTGACAGAGTGACAGCGTCGAGCCAGAAAGATGGGAAGGTGGAGGAAGAAGAGGAGGAGAAGGGAGGGGGGGGGGTGACATAGCCACTTGGCTCGCCTCTTCCTTTATCGGTAGAGAGAGGAGAGAGAGAGAGCGCGAGAGAGAGAGGTAGAGAGCGAGAGATTGAGAGAGAGAGGTTCTTAGTTATAGGGGCTGGCTGACCCTGATTCGGGGCCTGTTTTCCACGCTCCCCCCTTGCACTAACGACCTGACTCTGGCTGCTCCGACAGGCACGGCCAGTTGCTTTGGACGTCTGCATACATCAACGTCAGGCTAAAGTGTTTTTAGCTTTTTTTCAGTGTGGGGAATTGGGGGATTGTACACTGTAAAATACAGCTGTAACTGGACCCAGAGTAGATAAAGCCTGGAAAACAGTAAAAGCAATTACATGTTG